GCTACTTAATCAAAAATATTCAAATTCTTAATTCAAAACTAAGTTCAATTTCTCAACATTGCGACAAACATGCTAACAATAAAAAACCAATTACAACAATACATTTAATCTGGTCATACGAAAAAGTAAATTTTCAAAAATTGGTAACAAAATCATATTTCAATTCTATTTGTTTAAAAAATGAATTGTAAAAAAGGTGGCAAACTTCATTAGATGTCAACTTTTCTGGCTGGTTGATTGTATCTTCAAAATTTCAACCATTCATTTCATTTTCTTCAATACACGGCAATGCCAAGTTGCACAACCGCTATTGACTCATTGTAGCTCTTAAGTAATTTAGTATTAATTTCAACTTACTGAATGATCGCTCACAAGTAAAAATTGACACCCTTATAGTTAGTAAAGTTTGAAGAGCAACTCGTAAATTGGAAAAACGCTTTGGCCTCCGTATTTAATTATAAATTTAAGAAGATTTTCTGATATTAAAATTTTTGTTTCACGTGTGTTTAGTACCATTCTACAATCACATATTTTGAGATACAATTCATTATATTCTTAAAAATTTTAGAACTCCGCTAAATAAAAACATTGTATTTTCAAAATAGCATTTTTTATTTTATAAAAAAATTTTCAAATTTTTGATCCGCTTCATTTAATTGTGCAACGTATCAAATCAAACAATCATTGTATTAACTATTATTAACGTTCAGTCGTACGGTTTTACTTCGAAAGTTCTTCATAGAGTTCGTATATAAATTCGTACGTTCCTTTGATTGTACTTTAGATTTAGTATTTAACTGGCATTTTTTATTGGTATTGGCCGTAGGATTGTGTCGTTGAGTGTCAGCGCGTGCTCCAAAAAGCCGGCGTCAACAATCTCAACTTAGGCGAGACCCTCAGGTAGGAAAACCTTTAGGTTTGCGATGTACTTATCGTTCAGAATTGTGGTTCTGACGACGGCCCCGCAATTTTAAAAAGCTCTTCCAACAGATGAATCAATTAACGATCATTCAATTACAACATTTAATAAGTTGAATTTTGTCGTAGCCACATTAGTTGAAGCAGCAATGGTTGCGATTGACTTTGCAGTACGAACAGTTGGTGTAGGTTTCAAAGGTTGTAATTAAATTTCTTGCCACAGCGTTCAATGGTTTACACGGAAAAGAAAAAAAGTTTTGTGCTGAATCAATCTGAAACAGCAGACCGTTGTGAATGTGGGTGAACGTTCTTGAAGCAACTGAACGTATTTCGAAGGTATGAGAAAATTCATTTACTCATAACAGTTTTGAGATTTTT